AAATACTCTAGTAGTTTATCCACTGTATGTTCCAAAAGGTGGCATCGATCTTGGTTTTTGGGTGTTTATTTTCATCCTCATTTCGATTATGGAGTCGGTTTCTTATCAATTTATTATCTTGTTGCGGATTGTACAGTTTTGCAACTATGCTATAACCAGTTCAGTGGTAGCATACCAACTCAACTAGGGACTCTAAAGAAGCTCAATGTCCTCGCTCTGCAATCCAATCAGTTAACTGGCGCGATCCCCGCTAGCTTGGGGGAGTTAGGAGTGTTGATGAGGGTGGACTTGAGTTCTAATCATCTTTTTGGTTCAATTCCTACAAAACTCGCAGATGCTCCCCTTCTTGAAGTCTTGGATATCCGAAGCAACAAGCTTTCGGGCAATGTGCCTCTTGGTAATATATTTCCTCGCCCTACATTATGTTTTTTTGGTGAAATTATATCTTATCTGGTCTTTTATTTTCTGTCTTCTGAAGCTTTGAAGAGATTAGTTGGTGGATTCCAGTATGAGAACAATCCAGGACTATGCGGAGTAGGTTTCCCATCCTTAAGAGTTTGTACATCTTTGGATCGCTCGAATCCTAATAGACCAGAACCCTATGGAGGTGGCTCGAGTGGTTTATCAACTAGAGATATTCCAGAGACAGCTAATCTCAATCTAAATTGCAGTGGAAATGGCTGCGCAAAGTCATCGAAAACCTCACAGGCATCTGTTGTTGTAGGGGTTATTGTGGTTACTGTTATTGCATCTGCTATAGGAGTTCTTACTTTCACTCACTATAGAAGACGAAAGCAGAAACTTGGAGGTGGACTGGATATGTGTGATAGCCGTCTCAGTACTGACCAAACCAAGGAGGTTAATAGGAAGAACGGTTCTCCACTAGTTAGTCTTGAGTACTCGAGTGGTTGGGATCCCTTGGCTGAGGGTCGGCGTTATGGTGGTGTATCCCAAGAGGTTTTGCAGAGCTACAGATTCAATTTGGAAGAGGTGGAGTCAGCTACACAGTACTTTGCTGATAAGAATCGATTGGCTAAGAGCAGCTTTTCGACTACATATAGAGGGACTCTAAGAGATGGATCACTTATTGCTGTTACGAGAATTACGAAAATTAGCTGCAAGTCAGAGGAAGCCGAGTTTTTAAGAGGACTAAACATCTTGACGTCTCTGAGACATGAAAATTTAGTTAGGCTGAGAGGTTTCTGCTGCTCTAAAAGCAGGGGAGAATGTTTTCTCGTTTATGATTTTGTTCCAAGAGGTAACTTGTTGCATTACCTAGACGTGAAGGAGGACGAAGCTCGTGCTCTTGAATGGTCCACCAGGGTATCTATCATAAGTGGAACTGCAAAAGGTTAGTTTTGAATAAACTCTATCTTGTTGGATTTAATATGCAACATTTTGAGATTATATTACTTTTTGAGTGCTTACTATCAGCAATTCAACATTGAGGGGTATTATGAGCAGAAACTGTTTAACATGCATTAAGATGTTAAGCATGCCTGTTACTAAAAGTCAGTTTGGTTAGGCCCAAGAGAACAGAAAAGGCATTTCATGGCTAAATGTCTAAAGAATTCATATGTATTCTTGTCCAGCCAACTCATGAGACATAGAGATCCTTGATTGCTGTTGGTTTCTGACTTTCTCCTCCTGTACTTTTTAGCACAAAAAAGAAACTAGTTGCATATCAAGATTTTATATAGGACTTTGTTGGATAGTTTTTACTGTGTTTTTCAAGCCTTGTCTTACTAGCATGGGCGTTCCTTAAAGTGAAAGGGTTTTTTCTTATATTGATTTGTGCTATTAAAAACAAGCGTAATACTTAATACAACTGTCAATTTGGGGCGCTTTACTGTAGAGTGGATGTGGATCTAACAAAGGGTTACCCTTTATCTATCTGTTATCTTGTTGAGCAGGGCTCGAGTATTTGCACGGGGGTAAGGTGAATAAGCCAGCTCTAGTGCATCAAAATATCTGTGCCGAGAACGTGCTCCTTGACCAGCGATTCAAACCATTGCTTTCAAACTCAGGCCTGCATAAGCTTCTCACAAATGATATCGTCTTCTCAGCACTCAAGGCCAGTGCTGCCATGGGATATTTAGCTCCAGAGTACTCTACTACAGGCCGATTTACGGAGAGGAGTGATATTTATGCCTTTGGAGTACTAATTTTTCAGATTCTCTCTGGCAAGCGAAAATTCACCAGTTCAATGCGTGCTGCTGCTGAGTCGTGCAAACTCCATGACTTGATGGACGCGAATCTCCGTGGAAGGTTCTCTGAGTCTGAGGCTGCAAAACTAGCAAAAATAGCTTTGTTATGTACACATGAATGTCCAGAGGAGAGACCAACCATGGAAACAATCGTACGAGAACTTGGTAATTTAGCTATCTTTTCCTAATGCTAATGAACTTCTTCTATCAGCTGTTGGCTCTACCAACTTTTCTTTCCTAACTTATTAGCTGGTGATAGATTCCTACTAACCTCGCCTCGCACGAGTATTGGGGCGGAGTGGATACACATATAGTTTGCCAAGTCCTTTGACCGCGAACTTGTCTCTTTTGTGAATGTCTGTATCTTGTATTCCATTTAACCTTAGAATTTCTCAGTTTGGAGGAATTTCTTCTATTGTTCTCATGGATTATTTCTATTATTATTATTATTGTTATTGTTATAGTTATTGTTTATAAAAAGATGGATTTTCCTCCATTTACTAGGATCATTGCTTTGTTCTTTTCATTTCTCATTTGTCCATGCTCCTATGTTCCACACGCTGAAATCTTATGCCCTGAGTCTCGTATGCAAGGGGTTCAATTATTCAATATATTTAAATGATAGCTGCCGTCGTAACAATTTTCGGACTACCATATCGTTTGGAGCAGCTTCGGGCACACTTTGGCTCAACAGAGCTGTGCTTGAATTCAGTGATTGTCATCTCACAAACAAATATATGATGTGGAGATTTGCTCCTACTATACTTCTTTCGCTAAGATAACCTGAAAAGATTAATATATGCACACGAAAAGATTAGCTCCAATCCCCCATCTTTGCAAGACATGTCTTTTACTGGTCGGTCGAAACATCTCCATCATAGAGTGGAGTTTCCCTTTAAGATTGGATTCAAGGTTGTAATAGTCTAATACTTAATCGAGATGGGGCCTACTGCATGGGACCTATTGCCTCCACATCTCCTTTAAGGTGAGTCCGAAACTTTTCTAATGCCTTTTTGGGCAAAAAATACGTTTTTACTACTAAAAAAAGTTACATAAATAACTTACTGCGTTTTACTTTAACGAAAAGTTAGCCGTTAAAGTAAAACGCAGTACTATACTGCGTATTATTAAAAAAAAATATTTTTTTTAAGGAAAACGCAGTATAATACTGTGTTTTCCTATTAATATTGGGCCAGCTATATTTAATTAAAGAAAAACGCAGTTCAATACTGCGTTTAAGGAGTAATGCATTTTGCTTTAAAATTTGGGCCTGCCAATAAGTGTTCTGCGGATAACTGACATACCAATAATTCAAATACATAAAACGTGATATTGTACTGCATTTTTCATAAAAAAATTCTGCACCCCAAGCTTATTTAAAGGCGTTTGAATTTTATGAAAATCCATTCAATACTTTCCTTCAAACTTTCGTTCATACTTCTCTCTTCTTCTTATCAATCATTTTTTTACAATGTCTGAAGAGCCAAAAANGGGGGGGGGGGGGAGGGTGAGGTTGTGCTGGAGAATAACTCTGTGAGGTATAGCTCACTTCCACGGTGTCATATTAAATTGCCGCTTACAATGTAGTACGATAAATTAGTATCGTTGTTACGTAAAAAAATGAGTCAAAGGAAGCGTTCGGTTAACCTTAAAGTAACCGGTAGATTTACGTATTCAGTGACTCCGCAGGGGTTTGCTTATTACTCTGAGTTTAACATCGAAGATGATGAAACTCTTAGAGATTTTTTACGAATTACGGATGAATACAGGGAATTTATTGTAATAAAATTGTTGGAAATGTACGTCAAGGTGGAAGACATTCCCAATAATGAGGGTGTGCATAGTAGGGATACCCCCAGTCATCGGGTGGTTATTCTGGAGCAGTTTTTGCCGGACAGATTACCGATGAAAGAGCTTGCCTTGATTTAAATTTGTCACCATCGGCGAATGAGCAACCACAAAATAATTTTTCTACTTTATATAATCCACAAGACGACTGGTAAACTTCAATTTTTCTACGCTTTAGCGATGTTTATTTTATGTTTGAATTGGATTTGTATTAACACTCATATTTTTCATAGGGGGTACCGTCCGGATATGAATTTTACAAGTTATGACCCCGCCCTTAGTTGGAATATATGTAGTTTTGGAGTATTGGACCACAGTGGTCCATCCGGAGGTCATCACCAACAAGAAAATATTCATCATGAAACGTCAAGACAGTACGACTTGTAAGTAAAGTGATATATCTATTTCTTAAGTATTTATCTAGTTGGGTAACTTATCATTTTGTTCTTTTTGTGTAGTGAAAACGAGCTTCTTGATGTTGCTGACCTCACACAGTTGCCCATAGACGACGTATTCACTCTTGAGTTGGCAGACGCGTAGAGTCAGGAAGATGATAGTGTTTATGACAACAATGCGGATGAGTCTGGAGATGACACACCCTTCCATGATGAGGGTGATGAGGAGGAGGAAGTGAATGTTGAACCTGAGCTGACGAGGGAGCATGTTCCTCCACCTCCCGCTAGACCAAGAGTGTACGAGTCCTACGTGCCATTTCATGAGCGTAATATTCCTTACCTTGATAATTTCTAAGTATGCCGAACGTGGATGCCCTCACAAGGGATGATGACGAAATTCAGTCAGCAATGTGGGATGAGTCTAGACCAGCTGTTCTGACAAAGGGCATGTATTTCCTCGACAAAGCTCGCCTAATTAGGACTGTAAAAATCTACAGTATAAGAGAGTGCCGTGAGATGATAGTAAGTGAGTCAACTACGGAGGTATACAAGGCTGTATACCGTAGAGACTTTATGGGTTGTCACTGGATGTTGCGTGCCAGCAAGAAGAAATCAGGTTTGTG